CATCCATCCCCCCGCCCCGGCCCTCGCCGCACTGTTGGCTGCGTCCATGGGCTATGCGTACGTGTTCTTTGGCTACTCTCTTCACCTTCTTTTATCCAGTCCTCCCTCCCTGAGGCCAGATTATTATCTATTTTGATATTTAAAGGACTTTTGGTGTTTGATATTTTTCTACACAGATTGGTGTTTTGTAGTTTGAAAAAATCAAAAGTGAAGTATGTATAACAAATAATGTTTAAATATATGCTCTTTCCTCTCCAGTCAGGCATGGATGCTGCTCTGGATGACTTAGTAGACACTTTAGGAGTGCCTGAAGAAACCGAGCAAGATAACACAACATACACTGGACCTGAAGTTTCGGTACGTGATCTTAGTATCTGTAAACATTCATTTCTCGTGGGTAGGAGAGCAAAATAAGGTCACAATGCACAAAAGTATACCTAGTGTTCTGTTGTTCGGAGAGAAACAGGATGATGTCAGTCTCAGCAACAGCAACTGAAATTAGTGTTGGGAACTTGTGGAGTTCACGTCGATAGCTATCTCTGGTTAACAAGGTAGGGGGATGGGATTGGAAAGGCTAAACAGGACATATCACTCTAATTTTTTTGTAGAAATTATATAAGAAGTAACTATAGATCTGATAGAGTTGGGTACTGGGTTATATAGATATTTATTATTATTAACTGTACTTTTGTATGAATAGGAAACAACAGACAATGAAAAACATTTAAAATCTATTGTATTTTAATGTAGGAATCAAATTTAATATAGTGATTTGAATATTTTCTAGTACTACATATGGGTTAAGCTACTTAAATAAACAAAAGTATTTGTATAAATTTAGAATTTCAGAGTTGTGGAAAGTATTAACTTAGTGATTTACATTTTTTTTCAAAAGTTTCATAAGAGTAGACTAGTACTTTGGTTTCAGAATATGCATATAACATTCTTTGGCTAATTAATTATATAATATACCTGTATGTGTGATTTTATTACAGGATCCCATGAGTTCTATGTACATAGAGGAGTTGGGTAAAAGAGAAGTCACAATTCCTCCAAAATATAGGGAACTTCTGGCTGTAAGTTAAATAACCATTTACTTTTACTTTACTGTTTCCTTTTTGGAGTATAATCTTTATCACATCAATATAGTTACAATTTTTTAAATTTAGAAAATAAAATGGGGCATATGATCATTACTATGGTGCTCACTGTATTAGTTTTCCAGGGCTGCCAAAACAAAGAATCACAGACTGGATGGCTTAAACAGAAATATATTGTTCCGGGAGCTGGAAGACTAGGTGTGGGCAGTGTTGGTTCCTTCTGAGGGTCTGGAGGGAAGATCTGTTCCAGGCCTCTCTCCCTGGCTTGCAGAGAGCGGCCTTCTCCCTGCATCTCTCACATCGTGTTCCCTCTATGTGTATCACTGGCCCGTATTTCCTCATTTTATAAGAACACTAGTTATATTGGATTAGGGCTCATCCTCATGTCCTCAGGTAACCTTAATTATCTCTTTAAAGGTCCTGTCTCCAACACAGTCACAGTTTGAGACACTCAGGGTTAGGGCTTCAATAAGATGAATTTGGGGGGGACATAATTCAACCCCTGACAGTCACCGAGCAGCACATTTTGCTGATTGTAAAGATTAATTTTGCCTTCTCAACATTATCAATTGATATTTGTTTCAGAAAAAAGAAGGGGTCACAGGGCCTTCTCCAGACTCTCCGGTGAGTTTACATAAATGTCTTCTAAGATCCAAATTAACATTTTTTATATCTTTGGTTGGCGGATAGGGCTGTCAATGCTGTATTATGTTACTTAAAGTCACCTCTAAATGCGATGAAGTTTTCCTCTGTTCAGAGACCGGGGGTAGACCTGGGAGTTGTCTCAGTGCTTATTGGTCTCATGTGGAATTTTTTTGAGAGGAAGAAAACTGGAGCCGGGAAAGTTCTGTGATAAAATAAATGTTGATAAAAAATAGAATGGGAATATCCTAACATGTAATATATTTAGAAGAGGGAACAAAAAAATATTGCAAAACATTCCCTTCCAGACTCAGGCTTTCATCTGAGTTATCTTATTAGCACATCTCAGTATTGGTAAAGGAATCGCCCAAGTACATTCTTCCTTTGCTGGGTGTGTAATCTGATCTTCTGCTAGAATGATCCCCTTGTGTTACCCATCATGGTGCCTGTTTCTTTAGAAACCCATGGGGCCCGATGATGCCATCGATGCCTTGTCATCTGACTTCACCTGCAGTTCTCCTACCACTGGTGGAAAGAAAACTGAGGAAGAGGTATTGTTTTTAATGTTATTAGGGGAACTTGTTAGAAACCCTCCTGAACTTTAGAACAACAACTTTTTAGTTCTGGTTATTATGTTTCCTTCATCTATAAATTTAATCTTTTTTATTTTGTTTTTCAGAAACCTACGGGAGAAGTCTTAAAAGCTCAGTCAGCCAGGGTAATCAAAAGTGCTGTTCCACCCCATGAGAAAAAAAGAAAAGTGGAGAAGGTATAAATAATTACTTTCTTGAAAATAACCATGGTCCACAGACAGGAGCTGCCTTCCTGAGGCTGATCTAGCTGATTCTGGGCAATCCCAACAGTGCGTCCGGCGCTGTGTGGCCTGTCAGGGTGATACTGATCCCCTCCAAGCAGGTCTTCTCTGTTCCTACAAATGCTTGTGGGAGATTTCAGCAGTCTTCTTGGTTGTGAATTAAGACTATCTCACAATACACAGAGGGCAGGATACCAGAGAAATTACAATCTTGGAACATAAAATCTTCGACGTGGTTTCCTCAAGGAGTTTGAGCCCTGTGAAGTCCCTAGAGAAGTATCGTTGCTTCTGTCCACCTCTCTTAACCACAGTCAACTCTGCCAAATTCTCACATCCTAAAATGTTGTCCTCCAGCTCTGGGCTGAAGGAGAAAGCATGCCTCATCTGCAAATGGTCCACGTAATACCAGGAACAGTTGCTGTCAGAGCTGCTCTGCCTGCCCCTCCTGAGGTGGACAGTTTATTTTTATCTGGCCGAGGGAGGAGCAGTAAGAGCACCACACCCCTGAGAGCGGGCGTTCCTAGCGGGACCAGCCTTTGTGCCTTCAGAGAAGAAGGCAGGGGGGCCACCTCAGGGTTCCCTGCTTCCTGGGGTTGGCTGGTTTGCTAGAGGACAGGGTTGCCAGAAGTCATTTTTAGAAAAAGAAAAACAAGATAGTGAAAATTGTTGCAGCTTTTATTTTGATATGAGTACTTTATAATGGCATAATTATGATTATAGCTATACTTCTAGCTTGCTAAATAAGAGGTGCAGTGTGCCCCTGGGAGCACTGTTACTGTAGAAACGTGTCTTAGCTCCCATTCACTCACTGGTAAGTTCTTTATTATTTCTCTCTTTTGCTTGTTTTCAAATAAAATTGCTTTCCTACAGTCCTTCCCCAGTCTATGACTTGTCTTTTAGATTTAACATTTATATTCCACGAAGAAGTGGATGGATTGTTCAGGCTGAGGACATACGCTCTTTTTTAATGGACAGAATTTTTCCTTCGTAACAGGACACAATGAGCGACCAGGCACTGGAGGCTCTTTCAGCTTCGCTGGGCCACCGGAAGTCAGAACCCGAGCTCGACCTCAGCACCATTAAGGAAGTGGATGAGGTACTGACCCTGAAGTTCATATGTGAAGCATGCTAGTCTGCAGGTTACAAAACTAAATGTCTCATGCATGTTTAGAGTTTCTGTACAACTTTAATTGGAGATTTAAATGAACTACTTTTCATTCCGCCTTACTTTCAGGGTCTCTGCTTAATTTAGATGCTTATTGCTGGGGAGTTAGCAACCAAGAAGGATATTTGAGTGTTTTGTCTTGTAAACCATCTAGAATTTTAATATTTAAAATGAACACTAATCTCCTTTGCCAACGCTTAAATGACACCTGACTAAACAAGATAACACGGAGGCAGTGGCTTGGTGAGAAATAGGTTTGTCTGCTCTTATGGAAATTTATATTTTAAGAAGGGTAAGGAGAGAGGGAGGTGACCATAGGTGGGTGGGGAGATCCTTCTTTTTATAACTGTGGGCAAAGACGTTGAAAATTTGTCCCAAATTAGAATAACATCCAGCAACAATGATCCTGTAACTGATGCGGGGCAGTTTTTATCCCACCGCACTTAACAAGATCTTAACCAGCCTAAGCCAAGGCAAGCTTGTGTTTGGTGGAGCAGAGTTTTAGTATTAAATTACAATTTTTAAAGAATTTTTCAAACGAGACCTCTAGGGGGAAAGAAGAAGGAAGGAAGAGTTGCCCTGGGGACACTTCCAGCAAGGTAGTGTCGTGGGCGGGACGTGGGCGTGCAGCTGGGCCCGGCCT